TAGCCGGTTTGGCTCAGTGGATAGAGCATTGGCCTGCAGACTGAAGGGTCCCAGGTTCCATTCTGGTCAAGGGCATATGCCCGGGTTGTGGGCACTATCCTCAGTAGGGGTCGTGCAGAAGGCAGCCAATCAATGATTCTCTCTCATCATTGATGTTTCTATCTCTCTCTCCCTCTCTGAAATCAATAAAAATATGTTTTAAAACAAGACATCCAACCTCATTGGTATTCAGGAAATGCAAATTAAAACTGATTCCTGATCTTAAAGAAAACACATATACTGTTGGGAGTATAAATTGGTAGCACTTTGAAAATAATGTTGCAACATATAGAATAGTTGCCAATGTGCATTCTCTATGAAGCAGACATCCCATTCTAGGTGCCTATCCTGAGAAAGTCTGCACCACAGAAGACAGACAAAATGCTCATGGCAGCACTCTGTAATAGCAAAATCTGGAAACAACCAGAAAGTCGGTCAACTGTAGAATGCATAAATAAACTGGGGGGTTACCCATATGGCAGAGAAAATAAATGAATTACAACTGCATGCAGCGATGCAGCTGTATCTCAGGAACAAAATGCTGAATACTACAAGCAAGTCACAGAAGAATACAAGGTTCCGTTTTTACAAAGTTCAAAGACGCAAAAAGCAGACAATACTTATTTTTAGAAACCTATTCATCTGGTTAAACTACCTCTGAGGAGTGAGGTTCGGGAGTAAGATGGGGAGAGTGGCACACAAAAGATTTCAAAAATAGTGGTAAAGTTATTGTTCTTTTTTTTAAAATATATTTTATTGATTTTTTTACAGAGAGAAACAGAGAGGGAGAGGGATAGAGAGTTAGAAACATCAATCAGCTGCTTCCTGCACACTCCCTACCGGGGATGTGCCCGCAACCAAGGTACATGCCCTTGACCGGAATCGAACCTGGGACCCTTCAGTCCACAGGCTGACGCTTCATCCACTGAGCCAAACCAGTCAGGGCAAGTTATTGTTCTTAAACTGGGTGGTAGGTGATGGGGAGGGAGAGAGGAGGCGACGGTAGTTCATTGAAGAAAATTCTGCAGGCAAATCCTCATTGAAAGGAGGGAAGAAGGGCCACTGAGTGTATTGTGAGATAAACTTAAAAATTGGGAGAGACACGCAAAGAGAGACAGGAGCGTCTGGGACAATGGAAAGTGTGGAAGGCAAGTTTGCAAGGGAGTGGGAGATGGAAAGGTCAACGTTAATTACCCACTAGGGTCTTTATCAACTCAGTCCTTCATGATCCCACCAGAGATGTTATACCCATTTTATAGATGAGGCAACGAATATCTCTGGCTACTTTGTCGACTCCTCCTCCACGTCTCAAATGCCCCAAGGCTAAGAGATCGCTCAGATCTATTCTCACTTCTGGGCATTTCACCCAATCCACAGCTCTAAATGTCCTTCACACAGATAGCTCCAACCAGGCCTCTCTGGACACGACTGTCTCGTAACCCCAGCAGCCTGTTCGACCTCCACACTTGGATGTCTAATGGGCATCTGAAATCTAACATGTATGGTTTTTCTCAAGATAAGGGAGGGCGTCTCTGAGTCTTTCCCATCTTAGCAAAGGCAGCATCCATTACCCAGGTCACAGGTCAAAATTCTTGGGCCATCCTTGACTTCTCTTCCTTCATGCTTCACGTTTAATCTAGGAGCAAATTCTGTGAGCTCTTCCTTCCGATAAATCTTGAATCCAGCCACCTCTCACCCTTCACCACATCCTCCCCACTCTAAGGTCCCATGGCCTCAGACCTGGACATCGGCACACAACAATCCTTCCTGCATCCACCCTTTACCCCCTGTCCACCTGTTCTCCACCCAGCAACTGGAATGACCCCCTAGAATATAGTACATCTGAGTGGTGGTTACAGGATGTGTTCCCTTTGTAAAGAGTCAGTGAACTTCAGGCCTATCATTTGTGCACTGTTGTTTATGGACTTTAGGCGTTAGGAAAAAGTTCACATTCGTTGCCTCCTCCTTTTCTTCCCTCCCCTTCCCTTCCCTTCCCGAGCAATTAGGAGAGGCGGGGCCAAGCAAGGGTGGACGTGGAAAGCAACTGGTGAAGAGTGGCCTGGAGTGGGTGAGAGGCTGTCCATGTGAGGAGGTGGCCCTGAACAGGTGTTGAAGTCCCAGCAAAGGTAGGGAGTCTGTCACCCAGGGGCAGGGTGGCCCAGCACCAGGGTGTTCGAAACAATTGGGTAAGGAGTGTGGCCAGGGACAGAGTAGCCTAGTGAGGAGGACACCTGGACAGCACAGCAGGTCTGACTAGAGTGAAATAAAGGGGTGTAATGAGATGCCTGGGAGCACCTGCCCCCACCCCCACCTGAAATAGCAGTGAGCACATCTAGGGCCCAAATCTTGGTTTCTAAATATATTCCCCCACCACACGGAACCAGAGGTCCTTGGGAAGTGGTCTGTTCAGGGGTGGGGCAGGAAACAGACAAGACGAGCGTGGAACATGGTGTTATGCCAGAAAGTAAGGAAGATTCAAAGATAGGTGCCAAAGATAGGTGCCTGCGGACTGAAAGGTCCCGGGTTCGATTCCGGTCAAGGGCATGTACCTGGGTTGCGGGCACATCCCCAGTAGGAGATGTGCAGGAGGCAGCTGATCGATGTTTCTCTCTCATCGATGTTTCTAACTCTCTATCTCTCTCCCTTCCTCTCTGTAAAAAATCAATAAAATATATTAAAAAAATAAAAAATAAAAAAAAATCAACCAATGGAAAAAAAAAAAAAAGATAGACGAGGCCACGTCATAAGGACAGCAAGCAGCCTGAAAGGCTCCCACTGGTGAAATTAGGGACAAGCTGAGGATCAACATAGACAGTCACATTAATATCACATCAACAAGCTAAAAAAATAATAACAAATCCCATGATCTTATCCATAGATGCAGAGAAAGCATTTGACAAAATCCAACATCCAACCGTGCTTAAAACTCTCAACAAACTAGGGATAGAAAGGTACTTCCTCGACTTGATAAAGAACATCTACCAAACAAACAAACAAACAAAAACACAGCTAACATCACACTACAGGTGAGAAACTTTCCCACTAAGATTAGGTGTAAGGCAAGGATGTTCCCCTCACAACAGTTTTCAACCTCGTACTGGAAGTACTAGTTAATGCAATAAGACAAGAAGAGGAAATGAGAAGCATGAAGATTGGAAAGGAAGAAATAAAACTGTTTTTATTCACAAGTGTCATGAGTGTCGTTATAGAAAATCCAAATGAATCAACAGCAAAATCTTCTGAAACAGTAGCTTTATTCATAACTGCCGAAACGTGGAAGCAAACAAGGTATTATCCTTCAGAAGGTGAATGGATAAACGGCGGTACATCCAGCCATGGGAATGTTATTCAGCACTGAAATCAATGACCTATCAGTCTAGCCCATTTGGCTCAGTGGATAGAGCATCGGCCTACAGACCGAAGGGTCCCAGGTTCAATTCTAGTCAAGGGCATGTACTTTGGTTGCAGGCTCCTCCTCGGCCATGGTCGGGGCTCATGCAGGAGGCAACCAATCAATGTGTTTCTCTCACATCGATATTTCTCTCTGTCTTTCCCTCTCTCTTCCATTCTCTCTAAAAATCAATGGAAAAAATATCCTGGGGTGAGGATTAAAATAAATAAATAATAAATAACCTATCAAGCCATGTCCTCCCCTCCTGACCTTCAAGCACCTTATTCCTCTCAGAGGCTTCTGGTGGAACTGGTTTCTAGAATAAGCTTTCTGAACTATTCTGTGCATATGCAAGTATAAGTGTATTTGCATATGTATATGCATATGATAGCAGTAATATTTACTTGTCTGCCTCTTGCCTTTAAAAAAAAACACCTTTTGCCCAGCCAGTGTGGCTCAGTGGTTGAGCGTCGACCTGTGAACCTGGAGGTCACAGTTCGATTCCCGGTCAGGGCACATGTTCGGGTTGCAGACTCGATCCCCAGTGTGGAATGTGCAAGAGGCAGCCAGTCAGTGAGTCTCATCATTGATGTTTCTGTCTCTCTCTTCCTCTCTCTTCCTCTCTGATATCAATAAAAATATTTTTAAAATAAAATTTAAAATAAAAAATCTTCTTTGGCTCAGTGGATAGAGCGTCGGCCTGCGGACTGAAAGGTCCCAGGTTCGATTCCGGTCGAGGGCATGTACCTGGGTTGCGGGCACATCCCCAGTAGGAGATGTGCAGGAGGCGGCTGATCGATGTTTCTCTCTCATCGATGTTTCTAACTCTCTATCTCTCTCCCTTCCTCTCTGTAAAAAATCAATAAAATATATTAAAAAAAAAAAAAATTTAAAATAAAAAATCTTCATTTTGGAGTAGTTTTACATTTACAGTGAAGTCGAAAGGATAATACAAAGGGTTCCTGTACACCCCTCACCCGTTTCCCTATTGCTCACATCTTCCATCAGTGTGGTCCATTTTTCACTACTAAGGAATCAGCACTTTACACTACTATTAACTAGACCAGTGATGGCGAACCTATGACACACGTGTCAGAGGTGACACGCGAACTCATTTTTTTGGTTGATTTTTCTTTGTTAAATGGCATTTAAATATATAAAGTAAATATCAAAAATATAAGTCTTTGTTTTACTATGGTTGCAAATATCAAAAAATTTCTATATGTAACATGGCACCAGAGTTAAGTTAGGGTTTTTCAAAATGCTGACACGCCGAGCTCAAAAGGTTCGCCATCACTGAACTAGACTCCACAGTTTACTCTAATTTCACTCCTTTTCCCTGGATGTCCATTTTCATGCCAACCAGGACACCTTGTTACGTAGAGCTGTCATGTCACCTTGGCCTCCTCGAGTCTGTGACAGCTTCTCAGGCGTTCCTCGTTTTCGATGACCTTGCCAGTCTGCAGGAGGACCAGCTGGGCTCCTCTGAGAGGGCAGGGAGGGGAGGACGCTGCATACTCTGTTCTACCTTTTGAATTCTGAGTAGAAATGGTTAAAAAGCAAGCGTTCTGTGCCTGCTTCGGCAGCACAGAGACTAAAATTGGAACAGCATAGGGAAGATTAACCCGGCGCCTGTGAAAGGACGACGTGCAAATTTATGAAGCAGTCTATATTTTTAGTGTTTAATGGGTATAAAGTTTCAGTTTTACAAGATAAAAATGTTCCAAAGATCTATTGCACACCGATGTAAATAACTTAACTAAATACTTAATTGAAATGCTCTGATGACAAACTTAATGTTCTGTTTTTTTAATTTAAATTCTTTATTGTTGAAAGTATTACATATTTCTCCTTTTTCCCCCATTGATCTCTCCCCGCCCTGTTGTGTTTTTTTACCACAATAAAAAAGTGTTCTGAAGCAAAAGTAACAAAATGTTAATATCTGTTCAGAGATGGGTACCCAGATGACCTGAATAATTATGTTCTGTTAATTTTCTGCATATTTGAAAAATTAAAATCTTAGGCAAAGGATTTTGCATGTGCAAAGGCCCTGGGGCAGGGGAGAGTACAGCCAGTATGGGTTGGAAAGCAGGAAGAAAAGGACAAGGTGGCACAGGATGAGAGAACTGGGTGGGGACTTGATCGTAGGACCACAGACGACAACACCCTTCCCACACATTCCAGAGGCTCCCGCCCCTGCCAGCCTGCAAGCCATTCCTTCCTCAGGCGCTAACAGGGCACCTGAGTTGGCCTTCCCCACCCACCAGTGCCAGCTCCCGCCCAGGCCCTGCTTCATCCTGAACATGACAAGCTCATTGTTCCCTTTCTCCCGGCGGCTGCTTCCCCCCAAGAGACAGTTCTGAGCCCACAGGTTTCTGTGGGCAGATGTCCCAGGACAGGGTTCACAAAGACACCACTGTCTGGGGCACCGTCCTGGCCCAGCAGACAGCCTCCACATCAAAGAGGAGAGATCAAAGCTCCCCCCAGCCGCCCACAGCACACAGCCCAGCCCTGGTCTCATGGCACAGTTCTCCCCTCGGAGGTGAGGAGGGAGGTGGAGGCGGGACACGGGCAGTAGCTGGATGGCCATCAAGAGAAGCGCCAAGCCAGGGGTCAGCCGCATCTCCCGTGTGCACAGCACACCACGAGGAAGGCAGGGACAGCACTGATATGCCTGCCATAGGCAAGGAAAAGGACTCACCGTGGGCCAAGGTCACACAGCTGGCCAGGCCCCTCCCAGAAGCACCAGTGGCAGTCTGACTAAGGCAGACACCAGGGCCAAGCCTCCCAAATACACCCATTTAGTAGCTAGGATCTTTGGGCCAACGATGGCCTCCCGACCTTGACCTCCCAAGGGTGCCAAGTGCAATGATAAGCATGTTCAACGGTAGCTCTTGTTACCGCAACACCCTAGAAACAACCCACCTTAGGAGGAGGGCTGAGGGCAGCAGAGGGGCAGAGCACCCCCTGGGCTGGCCCAGTGCGGGCAGCTGCCGTGGGCCTCCAAGAGAACCCCCTGGAAGAGACCTCCAGCCCCACCCCCAAGCTCACCAGTTTTGCTGTGATTAAATGCAGTCAGAGCTCGGCCGATGTGGCTCAGTGGTTGAGTGTTTACCCCTGAATCAGGAGGTCACGGTTCGATTCCTGGTTCATAAGTCAATGCTCAACCACTGAGCCATGCCGGGTGGGCTCCATTGATCTTTAGGGAGAGAAGAAGAAAGAGAACAAAAAAAATACCTCGATGTGAGAGAGATACATCGACTGGTTGCCTCCCGCACATGCCCCAACTTTGGCAGGGATAGAACCTGCAACTGAGGTACATGCCCTCGACTGGGAATCGAACCTCACAGTCCTTTGGTCCGAGGGCTGGTGCTCTAACCATTGAGCAACCAGCCAGGGCTCCACGTCAGTCCTGTAAACCACCAACTTGAATACTGGCACCTGAGTAACAGCAGGCACCTCAGACTTGTCTAAAATTTACCTCCCACCGTCTTCCCACCTCAGTAAGCAGCCACTCTACTCTTACAGATAATAGGACCTTTCTTGGCCTTTTATTTAAATCCCACTTATAGCAAGTGTGATGGTTAACTGTATGTGTCACCTTGACCTGCTGCGGGTGCTCTGATTAAATATTATTTCTGGGTGAGTCTGTAAAGGTGTTTCCTCCCCATGTGGGTGGGCAGCATCCAGTCCACTGAGAGCCTGAAGCACGAAGGGCGGAGGAAGGAGGAAATGGGCCCCTTTTCCCCGCCTCGCTGCTGGAGCTGGGACATCTCATCTCATCTTCTCCTGCCCTCAGACCGGCATTCACACCCTCGGCTCCCTGGGTCTCAGGCTTTGAAACTCGGACTAAATCACAACACCGCTTCCCTCTGTCTCCAGCTTGCAGACGGCAGACCGTGGGAATTCTCGGCCTCCGTAATCGCCTGAGCCATTTCCTCTTAATAAACCTGCGTGTGTGTGTGTGTGTGTGTGTGTGTGTGTGTGTGTGTGTCCTATTCTGCTTCTCTGAAGAACTCTAATACAGCGAGTCCGGCTGGTTTCACCTTCGCACAATAGGTAACACATATCAGACGTGCTGTGTGCCAGCCACTGTTCTGAACACTTGCCATCATAAGGCATTTAATCTCCACAACGACTCTGTGAAGCAGGTTCTCTTATCCCCGTTTCACAGATGAGGACACTCAGGCACAGCGAGGGTCAGTAACGACGGCCTGATGGAACTGAGGTCTGAAGGCGGGCCCGGCTTGTTTGCTTACTGCTACGTCCCCTGGGCTCCGAATAGGTCCTTGCAGTAGGTGCCGAATAAATATATGTTGAATCAATAATGAACCCCGGACTATGTGAAGCTCCTGCAGTCCCCTGGGAGTTTGGAGGTGGCATTAGTCATGGCTGGGGAGGGAGCATCGTGCTGTTGGAGGAGAAGTCTGGGAAGCTTCCCAGAGAAGCTGGGCCAGCTGGCTTTGCGGAGAGATTTGAGCACAGCTGCACAAAATGCCTGCAGCACCACAAAGAGGGGGCAAGTCCAGGTGGGTGGCAAAGTCCAGGGGTCCCCGAGTTGCTCTCCCTGGCTGACTGATAAACCCCAGCAGGTCAGCGCTGCAGAACGGGTCCCAGTTTGTCCTTCAGCCACATTACAAATGGCCACATGTGGTAGCTCTCCTCGGATACCATGAATAGTCACAACCATAATGTTACATCTGCAAAGCCTCGCTCTCTTGCTCTGAACCCTGTGAGCAATTCCAATATCCTCTAGAAGCGGTAAATCAGAAAAATGAGGCAGAAGGTGGGGCGTGGTGGTATAAGAGAACACGTGATTAGTAACGAGGCATCTAGGACTATCGGAGGCCAAAGTGAGCGAGAGGCCCAGCTGGACTGAGCGCTGAAGGAAGGCTCCATGGAAAAGGTGCCACATGACCCAGGTCGGGAAGGATATTCTGAATTCTGTGTCAGAATCTTTTGGCTGCAAACAGTAGAAAACCTGAGTAAAACTGGCATAAGCCATGAGGACATTTATGTTGGCTTAACAAGTTAAGTTCCACAAAAGGCAGTCTCGGGGTCGGTTCAATGGCTCCAAAAGGACCTTTGCTCCTTTTTCCCATCCTGTCTGTCATCCTCAGGGGATCAGCTTTTAAACGAATTCTCGTTGCTTCACAGCACAATGTGGCTGCCACAGCTCCGGGCATCTCCTCCTCCCACGACACTGTCCAAGGCAGGAAAGGAGGCCCAAATGTCCATCATGGATACATAAATTGCGATGCACTTATAACGTGGAAATCCCACAGCGATTAAAAAAATAAAAGGTTGAAGAATTGCTAGAAGTAACAGCATGGATAATATTGTTCAACAAAAGAAGACAGGCATAGGGGATATTATAATGGGGAAGCCATTTATGTGTGTGTGGGCGGGGGGGGGGAGGGGATATATGGGAAATTTCTGTACCTTCCTCTCAATTTTGCTGTGAACCTAAAAGTGCTCTTTAAAAAATATTTTAAAAAAAATAAAAATAAAAGAAGCCAAACAGCCCTAGCTGGGTTGGCTCAATGGATAGAGCATTGGCCTGTGGACTGAAGGGTCCCAGGTTCAATTCTGGCCAAGGGCACATCTTGAGTTGCGGGCTTGATCCCCAGGAAGGGGCGTGCAGGAGGCAGCCAATCAATGATTCTCTCTCATCATTGATGTTTCTATCTCTCTCCCTCTCCCTTCCTCTCTAAAATCAATAAAATATATATATTTTTAAAAAGAAGCCAAACACAAATAAAGATATACCGTGTGATTCCACTTATATGAGCAGAAAAACTCAACTACAATGATACAAGTCAGAATGGCAGTTATCTCCGATAGGAGCTATTGACTGGGAGGGGACATGCGGGAGCCTTCCAGGACGCTGGCAATGTTTTATGTGTCGATCTGAGTGGCCGTTACATGGGCATACACGCAAAAATTCATCGAGATGTGTGCATGTCACCGTGTGTATGTTTATATCTCCGTTTTTTAAAAATCAAGTCATTGAAAGGAAAAGGGGCCGTGGGCATCCACCCCATGGGCCTGTCCGATCAGGAGGTAATTTTCCCAAAGGCTCCAGCAGCTTTCCCCAAATGTCTCTCGGGCCAGACGGGGGTCACATGCACACCCCAATACCCATCACCAGCCAAGGAGGTTGGAAGTGCCATGACTGGTCCCTGGAGCTGGGCACCCCATTGCTGGAACAAAACTAGGGTTCAGTTGCAAAATAAGATGGGCGAGGGCTGTTGGGTGGGCAGCCAGTCGTGTCTGCCACAACTGCAGACAGCCCAAGAAGTGAGAGCCGATCCCGGCAGGGATCAGAAACGTGAAACTCGCGATTGCTCCCTGGGCACGCCCATGTGCATGTGCTGGGCTAAGCACTTGTGGGGGCTCCTGCCTCTTCTAGATGGTGGCAAGTGAAGAAGGACGCATAAGACATGATGAGGGGGAAAGGTCTAGGAATTGTTGCCAGAAACCAGTTTATCCCGGGTTACAGGATAAACAGCTGTATGGATAGATGGATGGATGATTGATGGATAGATGGATGGCTGCATGGTAGATGGATGAGTGGATGGATGAATGGGTGATGGATGGATGGGGGGATGAATTTATCCTAAGGAATTAGCTCACACAATTGTGGGGGTGAGCAAGTCCCAAATCAATAGGGCAGC